CCCTCCCTGCCGCCCGCTGCTGGCTGCGGCAGCCCAGGGAATTGTTGCCAAAGTGGCGTTTGGGTGATCCGCTGGTACATCCTATTATGTGTTAATAGGATTTGTTCTTGCACTGCTTTGTCCGATCGCACATTGTTTATTGCGCATTAGGAGTACAATGAGATGCCCGTCAGCTGTGGTACGAGCATTATTGTGTGCAAGACTTGTCGTTTGCCCGCGGTGGCAGGCTTGGCTGTGGGAAACCCTCCGTATGGAAGGCAGGCAAGAAAGGCTCGGCATTTCACACACTGCAGCATGTCCTGCACTCCGGCAGGCGCTGGCTTCCCCGGCTCCCCAGTAGATGGTGGGGCACGCAGCGGGTCAGGGAGTTTGTCTGGAGGGCTGCATGCTCTGCGCTTGGGGATGCAGAGCCGTGGCTGCTTCCCAGATCGCCTCTCTGCCTTTTCAGAAGAGTGCCCTGCTGAGGTGGCAATCGAACAGGAAAGCATTAAGAAAAGAACTTGGAATAGAATGAGAAGAATGAAGGTGAAAAATGTACAGGAAGGCATGGGAACTACTGAGAACTAGTTACTCTTTTTCTTTGTTGAATGTTTTAATCAGTCTGGATGGTATTTAATGATCACATAATGCAGGTAAAAAGTACTTCTCAAAAGGCATCCGAGCTGATTTTTGGGGTTTCAGGTGTGATCATTAATATAGGTATTTTTACAAATCTTTTGCTGAAACACTGCTTCCAGAAAAACTAATTCATAATAATTCTTTTGAATTACAGGTACTCTAATATGCTTTTTTAATCCCTTTTCTCAGAACAGAATATTTTTTAAGAAATACTAAAGTCAGATTTCCAGAGCAGAATCTGATTGTGGTCTTGTGATGGCTTAACTTGAGCTTCTAGAGAGATCACACTCAGGTTTGCTTACATCTTGGCTTAGCACTGCTGTGCTGATGGAGTGAACTGGATCAGGTCATCCAGCTGAAAACTCAATGTTTTTCTGGGAAGGTGGGCAGGGATAGTCTTCAGTTTCTCGAAGGCCTAATCTGCTGCGTCTGTGGGACGAGTGTGGGTGAGGAAGCCTGAGCATTTCGGGTGGCTGCCCCTGCTCATGGTGCTGTGCCCGGGCAGCTGGGGATGGCTCGGGGGAGTCTGCCCTGTCCTAGCTCAGCTGGATCCAACTGGAAACTCCAGCTGTGAACTTTGAACAGTCCTAATCTTCTTAAGTAATCTCAATTTAAGGATAAAACAGTCAAAATAATTTATTGTGTAGTTTGGCTGCATGCTTTTTCAGAAATAGGTTTCCTGAATATCTAGATGTATTTGTCTTTTTGTCTTGGAAGGTAATTAGAAATAAACTGAGGAAATAGATTTTTGTACCAGTTAGGAACAAAGTCTTGTTCTGAGTTTGTGTAAAGCCTCTGGAAAGAAATAAGGCTCTAATTCTTCTTGTTGAGTAGTCAGACAATAAGCTGAAATTTGATTGTGTGTACACACACATATAACACATATACATACACAAATATATAAATATATATGCCATTGGATAAGCTTTATATATGTATGCATGTTTCTGTGTACATATATACATGAGCTTACACACATATAAAAAATATAGTGAATGAATACCATTGTGATCATCTTGTGTGACTAATGTCTGCCAGCCAGGATGAAAATTGGTTTGTCTTGAAGTGTCCTTAGAAGGTTTGATGATTTTGTGACCAGGGTCTTGGAATGAAAGCTTAACCTCCAAGTCAAACCAGCCGTCCCTACTTACAGAAACACAGCCATCCTGTTGTGATGACCTATTCCTTCTACAAGGGGAACAGTCTTCACCAGAAGAACAATTTAGTGTGAGCTTTCATCTCAGAGCAGGAAAGTTCCTGAAGCACGTCCTACCCGCTGAGGTAAGGAGAAACAAACAGGGTTTGCACCAGAGGTACTGGTTTGTCAGTAAGAGTGAGGCACATGTTTAAATCCTCTGTTGAATGCTGTGACAGCCCACCTTCAGTGAAGGGCTCAAACTGCCAAGAGGACAAAGAGGAACCTTACAAATATTTAAATTCTTTGTAGTGTGTGCTGTTCTTTCAAGACCTGAAGTTTGTGCCTCCGCCAGGTAGTGTCATGACGATGTTCAGGACTAGGGCATGCCTGTAACTCATTCAGGCAGGCCGGGTCATTTGCTCAAACGCACATGCACACTCATAGCAGATGGGTGGAGGTTCGGGCATTGCCGGTCATGCAGCAGCTGCGCTTGTTGAGGGACTGGCTGCAGCACCCATCGGGGAAGGCAGCAGGGAGGGCTCCTTCAGCCAGACAAACACGGAAACATTTTGAGCACTTAAAATTTGTTTTTAATGTTCCATTGAATATAAAGCATCTGCTTTCTCTGCTTTCAAAAAATGGATGCTGACCCAGAGTAACTTAATGAGTTACTGTTCTAGTAGAGCAATAGAATTTCTCAACGTTTCAAACACCTTTTAATATTTTCCCGGAAGGCATTGCTGAACTGTCCAGCTCCATTTGTGACTTGCTACAGTCTTTTGTAATAGTATCAGATGGACTGGTTGTTGTTAGAGGGATCATTAGGGATTTTTAACTACATCTTTCATTATTTTGCCTCCTGGTAGTAGATAGATCAGAGTAAGGAAAATAAATTAGAATATAAGAGGACATTGATGAGATGAGCTATCACTTAATGACCAGGCTAAGAACTACCACAGAGGAGCCTGGAGGAGTAGCATTGGCTTTCTAGTGGGCAGTTATTTATCAAATGATTGCTGAGGCTTTTACTGCTTTAGACAGTTGCTCTGAGCCACTTAGCAACTTCTGGGTCATGTCCAAGTGGCAGGTAACTGCAGCATCTTTTTACATCTTGGAAGCTGCCTTGGTGGACGAAGGAGAGCTGCATGAAGAGTGCGTGTACGTGCCAAGAGGCCAGTGGGTGGTATGCCTTGGCTACAGCTTTAATGTAGACACAGGTATTGCTCTCAATTTTTTCTTTTTTTCCCTTGCTTACATACTGAAAATGTGGCAGAAGTCTAAATTGTCGATCTTCCCTTTCTATCTGTGCTTTCTTCCTGCCCTTTCCTCTGTCCAGTGTTTAATCCCGTTTGTGCCGTGTGTCTTTTCATACGTAGATGTTTTGTGGCTGGCTCTTCGCTTTCGTTGTCCCAGACTTGCTGAAATAGCGGTACATATCAACTCTGTATTTTAGGAGGTGGCAGAGGGGAGTAAGAGACAAATCTGTAGGGTCAGGAGTGGTACAGAAAGGATGCGTTGGCATTCACTGTTCATTTCTACCCAGTGCAGGAAGTAAAGGACCAGAAGTGAAACTGGCGGTTGACGCATTCAGTATGAAGGGAGATGGTTATCTTCACACAGTCTGAATTTACACTGGGGAGCTCTGCCACGGAATGTCAAAAGTTTACATGGCCTCAGCGAGCTACTAATGCAGCTTGGGGAGAGAGGAGCAGCTCTTTGGGGACTGCTGTACGCAGAGATGCCTTTTTTGGTCTAGAGTCCCTGAGCTGCAGTTTTTTAGAAGCTGGGAGAATATTTTTACCTACATTGACATTTAGCAGTGGGCTGGAATTTTGGTGACCTGAACATAGCACTGACCCTGGCTCGTGTATCCTGATTTTACTGTATGCAAAAGGGGTGAGAGTGATACCTTCAGCATTGTATCATCCATACCTGCTGCAGCCTTGGTGATGCTGGTGGAGGGCAGCTGAGAGGAGGCACCGTGGGGGGGAGGTGGGGAGGGCTGGAGCACATCTCCCCTGCCGTTCCCTTCTCCCTCTGCCTCATCTGCGCTTGGAAAGTTACAGAGTGACTAATCTTTCTATTTTTAGATGTTACAAAGAAAGAAAGCATTAGGCAGCTGGCTGCAAAAATATTTGTGACCTTTCTTTACATTTGTGCATTTCTTGTTGCTATTTTGGAGACAGCATGCAGTTCCTCCCCACTTCAGCTCTTCAGTCTCAGAGTTTCAGGAGAAACTGAATTGCTTGTAACTTTAAGCATGCATATATTAAAAAAAAAAATTGCTTCCATGTTTGGTAAACATGGCTACCGCTGCTTGTAAGCTGCTGGCCTTGTTTGTGTCCCATATTCATAGTGACTTACTCACTGGAGAAGCAACCAGAGCACGGCTGGTAAGAGGCTGCGCTGGGTATTCCGGGTGGCTGAACACCCTCTGCTCCAGTCAGTCCTGTTACAAACTAACATGCAGCTTGAGATGGACTCCTCCCTAATCTCTCCACCTGCAAGAGAAAGGATTAAGTAGGTTTACTGGCTCAGTGAGGTGAAAGGGTTTAGCAGTATGTGTGAACAGGGGCTGGAACTGGGGCTGTGGTCGGCGGGTCTGGCTTGCCGCTTGTGATGGGAGCTAGCAGGCGTGCAAAGGTAGCTTAAGCCAGGCAGATGTTACTGGTCGTGTTTTTGTCATTGGGGCAAAATCTCAGGAAAAACCAGGCATTTTTTACTTTGTACAATGGGGAGATGTGCCTTTTAGACATGTATGTTGAGTAAAAAAAAAAAAAGGCAGGACAATATAAATGTGAGAAATCCAGCTACAAAAAAGAAACAGCTTTACAGTAATTGAGTGGTTTGGGTCAGTCATATCAGTCATGTTCCTTAAGAGTAACTCTGTACGACAAGCATTTCATAATGCTGCCACTGAGTGATGAGGATAATTTGCTTTATTTACTTAAAATGGTGTGAATTAGCACTGCACTAACTGGTAAGCCTGCAAGCTGATATACAGATACCAAGTCCCTTTTTTTATTACAACTATCTTTGACAGACTATTGAGTAAAGTGAAACTTTCTATTATGTGAAAGTACTCTTGGATGGAAGGCCTTGAGTTCCTCATTGCCCCCAAGCAGATAACTGTGACCAAATTTTGTTCTCTAAAGCTGATATCTGTAAGACCATTTTTCACTTATATAGCATCCGAAGTATGAAAGACACTTAGTGTTGAATGCTGTTTTTCTAGGACAACATGCTGAATTTATAGGGCACTTTGTTTCCCAGCTGAAAAATTGCTAAAACCTCTTTGAAAGTGAAGTATTGCTCTTGCAAGCAGACATGGAGCAGTTTTCACAGCTAATCTGTGTAGGTGTCAGTACTGCTGTGGCATCAGGTGTTACAGGTGTAGTGCTAGTATTTAGCCTGCCTTTTATATCCACCTTTGATATGTTAAAGGAAAGAATGTTTTCTGTCAAAAGGCAGAAGAATGCATGGGAGTGGTGCTGTAGCGTTTCAGGGGCTGTGGCGGTACTGGAGTTACTAGTGACTGTATTGCAGAGGGGTTTCTGGCCGATGGAGCAAGCCCGACAGAACCCATGTGTAGCGATGCATTGGCTTCTGCCACCACTGGCTGCTGGGACTCTGCCCGTGCTAGATCCTAGCAAATATGTGCACTTAGTAAAGTGCTGGATTGCCCTTCCTTATTTTAGATGAGCAGTTTCTCATTCCACACCATTAGTTTCACCAGCCCTCAGCAGCATTGCAGGCTGCTGCCAGCCGTGCTCCCTGAGGTCCAAATACTGTAAGAGATGCATTTTCAGCAGCCAGTTTGACAGGTACTTTGATTTTTGTTATGAGGGATGAGCAATGCCCTAGGTTAGAAAGGATTTCAGACAGCTTCCCAGCTCTGTGTTTAAGAGGTAGCAAGACACTGGTGATCGATGTGTGAGTTGGGTTTTTTTTATTGGTTAGTTCGTTTTGTTTTTTTAAAGACTTTTAGTGAAAGTTAGAATACTTTGTAGAAATGCCGAGGTCAAAAACATGTTTGCTTGTTGGAAAGGTTTCTTGGGTCAAAACATTAACAACCTTTCAAAACCTTGCAGAAAAAAACCCCAACCCAAAGTACTGATTTTCCAGCAATGTTTTTTCCTCCCCTCTGGTGAGTGTAAATGCTGTCTAATAATTTGAGCCAAAGAAACACAAAATCTCACTAATTCAGTAAGCTGAATTCTCTCACAAGCTGCTTAGCTTTTATTTTTTGAAAACACGTGTGGGTTCCACAGTACAGTGCTTAGTTTGTATAATTTGATGGGAGAGATGGGATAATGATGCTGGTGTGGAAATAACAGCTAATGCATCTGTAACAGGAGGAGAAGGAAGAGCATTGGACCTCTCAGATGAAAGGCAGATGCATACGCGTGCTTTTCTAAAATCAGTTCGGAAGGGTCAGGAACAGGTCCCCTCTGAAAGGGTTGGATCTGAGCTCTCCTGCGCGCTGCCTGCTGAGGCGGCATTCGTGATGCTCAGCAGCAGAAAGCTCTTGCTAATGTAACAAGTTGCGTGCTGGGCTTCTTGCTTGGCCTGGCCGGTTCTTACCTTTGAGATTTCATTGTGGGAGTCGTGACCCGTTTTCCAGCACAGTCAACAAATTCTGGTGAAGTTAACTTTCCTGTATAGCTACTGGATGAGGTAAACGGGGTTAGGACCCCTGCCTGTGCATCAGACACTGTATCCTGGTGGGCCTTCTGTAGCAGAAGGTGTTGGGAAACATAAAGCCAAAATCAGTGCTGGGACAGGAATACTGAAGTGACTACTCTACTTACCTTCTGAATTTGTCCTAGGACTATCAAGATTTTTCTCCTTTTTTTATTAGTAGTACAAGTAAGTGCTGAATTAAGGAGGTCAGCTATACAAAAATAAAACAAATTCAGCAATTGTTCTTCTGTGTCGTGGCAGTAAATCTGTTGAGCGTCTGCTCAGAAATAAGCCTCTTCTGCTTTCACTCATCCTTGTACTTAGAGCAAATTTAGATTGCTTCTGCTTAAAACCAGCAAGCAATGTCCAACAAGTTAGACAATTGTAATCATAAATCCCTGGAACAATCTGTGTTTAGAGAGTATAAAGTAGATGAGCTGGGAAAATTTGTTCTGCATCAGCCTTTCAAAAAGGGAGCCAGAGTCTTCAAAACAGATCTGGGCACCGCTTCAGCACAGAGGGGAATTTTTGCTGGGTACAACTGCCTTTCCTGCTATTTGCAAATGTACTGGTACGTAACTGTGAGATCTGATGGACATACTTAATTTACAGGAATAGCTTGCTTGTTTTCTTTTGTTAGAGAGCTCATAGTTGGGTGGTATTGGCAACATGAGCAGTCTTTTGCACAAGCACCACCTGAACTATGCGTCCAAGTGAGAGTTTTTTACCAGGTTCACAGATGTGTTGTATGTATGTAATTAGAGTATACCACTTAGCTCAAACTAGAGTTCATTATACTTGAGGTGACTCAGAGATGCTCTGCACACTTCACATTCACTGTAGTTTTCCCAAATTTCTCCATGTAGATGCGTCCTCAGCACAGGAAGGGGAGATTCAAACTCTCATTGTGCATCAGCAAGCAACTCGCTCAGATGTCTTTGTGGACATGAAAGGCTAAAGCAAAAATGCACATTTTCAGTGTTCATGGAGACTTTGTAGCCAGGGTTCTGCCTGACGGCCTCATGAAATCCATAATCTGTTAGCACAGATGGTGTAGGAGCAGTCTCCAGGGTGATTTTGTGCAGGTGATTTCTGCCAGGCTGAGGTACCTTCCCAGAAAACAGATTGCTGGTCAAGGGGAGGATGGGGTCCTTAAATTTTCGGCTGTAATAAGAGGCCATTAGTCCTATCTGTTGGTCCATAATATGGCCTACTTTCAATGAAAATGAAAGACAAAAGGGAATACTTCAATCTGTGATCAACAGACACTTTAAAAAAGTGTAAAATGTTCACTAGCTTAGCTTTTCTCTCTTGCACTGGTGAAAATTTGTGAGTGGGCTTCCATATTGAAGTTGACCACAAAATAAAGTGAGAGAAGCAGCTTTCTGTGCTTGAAACATCAAGAAAAAAGGTTTTCTGATTTGTGAGAAGATTTTACAAAGCCTACTAGCCATTGAAGTGTATTACACCTAGACTGAAAAAGTCATTGCTTTAACAAGACTCAGGAGGAACAAGAAGGTTAATGCAAAACTAAGAAATTACAGTAATAGATCAGAAACTGAAACAAATGCAGTCTTTGCCGCAGTCCTCAGGAGAGATTTCGAGGTCAGGGAGCAGACAGGTCACTTGTCTCAGTGCATACAGTTTGAAAGTTTTAAATTAAACATTTACAGATTTCAGAAACCTTCTTGACATACAACATTTAAAACATTGCATGTGAATGGCAGGACAGCTTATTAAATCTAATAGGGGAAGTCCATAAATTTTTAAAAAATAAAATTGTAAGCTTATTTTGTTGGCAGTTATTCCTGGGTTTGGGGCCTAGTAAGACTTCCTGCAGCTCTGTCCCTCATGATGGTGGCTTGTTTTAGGTATTCCAGTTTTAAATGCAGAAGTGTAAAACACGTTTTATCATCTGCCTCAAAGAACCTTGTCTTGATTTAGGTTGTCTTGAATGGATAATCTTGTCCTTATCCTTTTTTAAAAATAATTGGACAGGAGTTCAATAGCTTTTATTGCAGATTATGTTAGGACAGTATAGTAAAATCAAGGATCAGATAGTCAGTTGTTTTCCTCCTGCAGTGTGTGTGGGGGAGGGAATCTCAATTAGACGTTTTTGTTCATTCAGTGTGTTGCTTCCCCATTCCTGCGCCCTTTTCTTATCAGCTGGTGGCTGCGAGTTTGAGAGAGGGGAGGGAGTTGTGGGGTTTAAGGTGGTTTTTTAGTTGTGGGATTTTTTTTCTTTCTTTTGCTTATTTACCTCAGTAAAAATGGAGAAAGGTTTATGGTTTTCAATTTCTGGATTCTTGCTGTCTTGTTCTAGAGAGAATTTTGGTGAAATGAAGTGAGTTGATAAATAGGACAGAAACATTTGACAAATAAGCATTGCAAAGTAGTACAATTTTATCACTGCAAAGGGCATGAGAAAGAATCCAAACCTGCTTTGAGTTGATTAACATGTATCACTTGCCAGCTGACATTGTAATTTGTTTTAAGACTGGTATTTCTTAAATTGAAAGTTTAGGACAAGCAATTGACTATTTTCTTTTGATGTCCCCATATGTTTTTTTTTTTAAAGCGTATTTAATTGTATTAATCAAATATTCATTAGTTCTGTTAACTTAATGGGTTTTTTTTCTTTGGCTGTTTGGAAAGCCTTAATTCTTGCAGATCTTTTAGGCTGTTTAAAAAAACCCTGTAATCCCTATTTACCTGTTGTGACCCCTGTGGTAGTTTAAGCATCTTCAAAGCTGCTGAGAAATGGTCAAACATGGATTTGCTAAAGAGCAGTCACTGTGGTCAGCTCAGAAATGGCAGATGACCTTCTGGTATGGAAGCACTACATTCACAGACTATGGGAGGGCCCCACAGGCGCATTTCTCATGCTTCAGATGACTGAAGATTTGCTGTATATTAGTTTCTGACTGGATTCAGGGCAAAGATTGCATGTTGCGAGTAGGGCTGTTTGATTTGTGGTAAAATCCAGAGAAACACACACACACAAAAAGATCCTTTTACTTTTCTCTTCCTCCTTCATGTGATACTTAAAAAAAAAAAATTAATACAGAGTTTGCTAGTGCTAATGAACATCAGCCTTTAAGGATTATGAGGGCCCACGCTAACGTTTCTAGTTAATTCTGGGATTAAAATGGTATAATTTGTCAAGATTAAAAGCAGTAAACTTAAAGGGTTACATGGTAATTAATTAGTAAAGTTCCAGTAGGCAGTAGAGGAGAAGAACAAGAGCTCTGTGAGTCAATGGGGTCATTTTCCTTGCTCTTCTGTGAGAGGTTATTTTATCAGTGATATTGCATTTCCAGTTGATTTGCCCAAGGTGGCTTGTATTTGCTGGGGATCTGGCCTATTCATATTTGTAAAGAGAAACTTTTGCAGGGTGTGGAGTGCCCAGGAAGTGGAACCGGCATATTTTTAAGCTGTAATTTTATGCATGTGAGGAATTGGATGTCTCGTGTGGAGCGGTGGGAATGGCTGCTGAAGAGTCTGTGGGTTTGGGGTTTCATTTTCCCCAGGGCTGATGGCTGGGTGGTATCCTCATCTCCCTCTACCCAGCACTGCGCCCGCTGCGATCAATGTAAGCAGCAAATGGTGCCCAGATGGTGTTCACCTTCCTTCACCAGGGCAAAGGGAATTTTTAATTTTTTTTTTTTTTCTTCTCCTTTTTCCACTTATTCATCTGTTGTAATAGCAGTTGTCTTTGTCTAGTTGGCATCTGTTAAAGGGCAAGTGGGAAACTCAGTGCTACTTGTTCTGGATCAAATTCACATGCTTCTGGTGAAATGGCGCTTCTTTTTGTGCTCTAGGGGAGGGTGGGGATCATTTTGCAAAGGGTTTCTTGATCCCTCTGTGGATAAAAACTGATCTCTGAGTTTGGGGTGGATTATGAGGCTTTGCTGTCGCTGTTGTAAATAAATTGATTTGAAAAGAGCAGACAGGATCCAGACTATAAACCAGCGCCTGCCCTCAGAGGGAACGGGACACCCAGAAATGCTTGTCGTCGTCAGGCAAACGGTGCAGTGGTTTGTGCAAAGGCTGCGTGCTTTCCACTCAGGTGCGCTGCAGTATCCCACGGTATCGGAACTGGCTGGGTGGAAGTGTTTGGTTTGGTTTGGTTTTCAAATGTGGCTTTACATTGTGCATGAGGAAACTGCCTATAAAAAGATTCTTGAATTCTGAGTTTGATTCCCTTGTTTATGTTGGCCTTTCATTTCTAGATCCAGAATAGATGGGGCTGCATTTGGCAAAAGATGCTTGTCCTTTAATTTCTGTGTAGTTGAATGCCAGTTTTCAATTCAGCTGTACTGGAATATATTGAGAAAGAGGTATTAGTGTGGCGTTTGTTCAGATTTACATGTTTTAAGGAGAAAAGCTGGCGATATACTCAATTCTGCTCTGCTTACTCTTTCACAATAGTTCTTCCCTCTTAATTGCAGTACCTTATATAACAAATAGTCCCATGGGTTTCAGTGAGACTGCTTAGGGAATTGAATACCACAGTGTTAGCAGAAATGGAAAAAATGAATAGTGCTTTTAAGAATTGCAACATCTGGCAAAATGCTCATAGTCTGTGCATCTATCAGACATTAATTCTGTTTTGTTTACTTATGAGTCTATTTAAATCATTATAGAAAACTATCACTGCGAATTATGTTAATGATGCTTTTTATTGGCACCTAGTAAGACATTTGGGATCCTACTTAAATTCTACTTTAAAGTTCTACTTTAACTTTGAAAAACAATTGTTATACTGCAAAATATAGCTTGAACTCCTTACAGTTTTGTATGAAAAGTAAAAAAAAAAAAATCTCATAAGTTTTACCAGTTCCACGAAAGGCAGTCACACAGACATGGCTCATACACACTTGAATTGGTGTCGGATCTGCTCGGTATTGCAGGCATATGAAATGTTTCTTTTGAAATGGCTTCATTTCTATTGAGTGCCCTAATCACAGAATCACAGAATGGTAGGGGTTGGAAGGGACCTCTGTGGGTCATCTAGTCCAACCCTCCTGCCAAAGCAGGGTGATTTTTTTAAAGTTGGTTTTTTGTTGGGGTTTTTTTTTTTTTGGTCAAAAGTGGAGAAGGACCACAAGAGCCTATCAGGAGAGAGACCTTTGTGGGCTTTTTAAACTTTCCCTGTTGCTTCCTCCCTGACATCATGTGTCTTGCAGCTGTGTACCCTGTACATGTCCTTACTGTGCTTTGCTGTCCCTGTGGACGAGCTCTGGTTTGGGTCACATGCCTGTTCATCCAGTGCATGTGAAAAACATAAGCAGCAAAGGAAGAAAAATTTATATTCCTGTTTAGAAAATACCAGATTGAAGCAGAAAATGTGTTTAGTTTTAGGCAATGGGTATAACATCAATAATACAATTCTGGTCTCGTTTTAGAATCTAGACAAGCACTGTATCTGTGCTTTGTTCTGGATCTGTCTAGGCTGTTCACTAGCAAGACATGTCATTTTAAGAATGGCATTTAAGCAAACCCAGCTGGTTTGCGTAGATTTAAATGAAGATCAGCTCAGCATGAAGCTTGTTGGAATTGCTTCTCATGAAATTTTTCTAGCTGGGACTTTTTAATCTGCTTTTGACTTAACCAAATTAAGTTTTTTTTTTTAATTTTATTTTATATTAGCATGGTTAGGGAACTGCCATTTTATTGGAGTTGTATCGTGGCTACAAATGACAAAAAAACAAAAACAAACAAATCCAACCAACGAAAAAAAGACAGCCCCCAAACAAACACACACCTCCCCAAATCAAGTCTTACTTCAGAGGAGACCGACTTTGCAAGTCCATGTTGAACTAGAGAATACAATTCTTGCTTCTTCTTTTGTCACCTTATACTTCAAGTAATATACAAGTTTCCACGGTAGCTAGATGACAGTGTATTTACATGTAACATGTACAGAGCTTACAGGCTTCTTTTTCATGAGCAGAAAACTGGACTGCTTTCTGGTGGAGCTCAGCAGTGAAACCGGTATTGTCAAAGCTCTTAACCGTAAAGCAGGGAATTTACAGCTGATGCAGTGCTGTTGGTTTCTCTGGTGCTAGGGAGCTAGCAGGATGGTTGCAGTCTGCAGCTGATCCAGATTGCAACCAACCTTACACAGAGTCTAATAAGTTGTGGGGGTTTTTTCCTCTTATACCATACAAATATCAAAGAGTGAGTACACTGATGCACTGCATGTGTCTTTGGATATATGACTTCCCACTCCCCTTATAAATAGTCACCAAAATGGTTTCAGACTATAGGACTGGCTTTCATGTGGGAATGGTATCAATGTATCAAGAATTTTTCCTTGGAAAAACAAGAAAAACGAGGTGGTCTGGCATCACCCATCTTTCTTTACCAAATGCTATTGCTGTAACCGCTGTAGCATTGCTTAGGACTTAATTCTCTTTAATCGGCTGTGCAGTCCTAAACATAGCAGAAACAGCAGTTGTAGCTCAAAACAGTGCTTGAAATGGGGCTTGCATGTGCATAAGAATTCCATGATTTTTAAGAGCTTGTGATTATTCAGCTGGATAAATGTGAAACTTACTATTATAGTGAGTGTGCTGTTCTGGTCCCTGCTGGCAAATGAAGTCTTAGGAAATGGAAGTCTTTTAAGTGAAATCAAGAGTTACATAGTTCAAAGGTGGCAGAAGTTCATACTGTTGATGTATGAATGTGATTCCTATACTGACTTTGTACCTTTCATGGGGCTTCCAGAATTGGACTCAATTACAACTAATTTAGTTTTTAATGAGTGGAATGGTCTTCTTTGTGTGTAATGCAAGTTATGTAATTAATCTCCAATGCGTATTGGAGACACCCAGTTTATAAACTGGATGAACTTATGGACTGGTGTCTGGATCTGTGACACCTTCATATTTTAGCAATAGAGTTTGAAGGAAGAGCGAAGTCTTTGAGGCATGGCTCAACACTAGTTAAACTTTATGGTTTAGAAAATTGTGTTGACTGGGCAGCTTCAGTGCTTGCTGCTTTGAAAGACTTTGTTTGGATTTCCACTGTGCAAAAGGAGTCCTGAGACAGTAGCTGCTCTGGAAACTGATTTATGAAAAAGGCTCTGTTTGAAGGAGAATATTATGTGCTCCTCATCGCTGCAAGCTGCTCTGCTGTTTTCATTAGTTGGTGCTTCTCTAGGAGGCATTCCTCTCATGCTTGTGTTCTATCCTTTTTTTTCACAACATAAAAGAAAATGCTCTGTTTCACGTGCTCCACGGAGTTTCTTTCATCCTTCAAAGTGATGTTAGTTGTTTTGCAATGTAATCTCCTGTATGAGCTTGCTTTTGAGCTGTAAGGCTAAGTATTGTTTTTGTTGGCAGGGTTATAATGTTTGCGCATTTACCACGTCATTGATTGATAACAGTAATGAAGTAAACAGCTGAAGGATTTCACTTGTTTTCTTTTTTCACTCTTCTGTTTCCCACAGGTTCATTGCTAAACCATGTGCCTTAGGCCTTAAAGTCCAAGCCAACGGACCGCAGAAAGCTCAACCTAATGCTATCCTGGAAAAAGTTTTCACAGCTATTACAAAGGTAGAGTATTTAACTAAAATATTTGCCTTGTAAAGTGGGATATGGCACTATAAACTGTGTCTGAACAAAACAAAGCTAACTGCTAAATGCAGTGCTGCATTTTTACAGCTAAAATAAGAACATGCAAATGTCAAGGTTGTCGTTGGCATGCCATCTGGAGCAGTTGTGCATCCCTTCGTGACATCTCCTGTAAGCTTTTAATAAAAAAAGTTGTTATAGAAACACTTTGTAGGTGCCATATGGCCACCTACTTTTTTTTTTGCTTCTTAGCTTTTAGAAATTTCCACAAAATCATCTTTTTTAAAAAGAGCGAATTGTGAGCCAGTACGATTGGCCTTACTGTGTTTTCCATGAAACTTCAAAGCTACTCGTTATAGGGCAACTGCCTGAGCACAGGGCACTGGTGGCTTGTTGGTGTCCCAGCTGTTCATGTTGTGATGAATGGCCTTTGAAATTGAAAGAGGGGGGGAGTGCGTGAAGTGATCTAACTAATGTCTGTGAGTCATGGTGGGAGCAGGCACACACAGCTCCCAGTGCATGGGGATGAGTGGGAAGAGCTCCAGAGCATAGTATCTACTTTCCTGCAAGACTTTGGTAGGGCTGTCTGGTAGCTGCTCTCAGACAAACTATCCGCTTTAGCTAGCCACCTCTTCTGAGGCTTGTGCAGCAATTCTCTCTAGTCAAGCTCCCAAGAGCTGCGTCAATCATTTGATTTTTCTAAAGTTACAGAGAATGGCAAGTACTTCACCCTTCTCTTGTCTCGTCCTTTCCCTTCCCTTCCCTTTCCTTTCTGTCTTTTCCTGGAGGCTGATAGATGAAACTTCAGCCTGACGAAAGCTTTGCTATTTTACCTCTTGCAACATTTTAAAAAGTCTTTATTATGGTAGCTCTTGTATCTCGCTCAATGTATGTGACTGGCTTGCAGAAATAAAGCTAAAGCTCCAGAAAACAGATTGTTCAAAGGCTTTTTCTATTTCTTTAAAAAAGAATGTGGTGAGGAGAAATATATAAATAGTCCTCATGCAGTACTGTACGTGTAGAATTGCTGCATGATTGGAAACATGGCTGTACTGCTCTTCTCTGTTCAGTAGTCAAATTAAGGACAGACTCATTTTCTTTTGCTTTACCTCTGCGCTGGTTTGCAGCTGCTTTAATGGAATGAGAATTCCACATTTGCTGCTGTGGAGAATAATTGTGTGTAGCTAATTTTATAGAAAAAAAACTTCTCTCTCCCTGTTGTCAAGGTGATTTTCCTTTTGAAATTGTCACTTTGCTTAATGACCTCCTTTTTTAATATTAACATGCATAAACATGGGATGTATCTTCTTTCCACGTCAGTCAAACAATCTTCACTAGTGCAGCAGTTGCTAGGACAAAGATCCCGATGCAGGAGGATGGAACAGGCATAGCGTGTGGCAGGCAGGGGGGTGTTTGTAAGCCCCACTGCCCGAGAAATGCATGGCATTTTGTCCCTCCTTATCATCGCTTTCCAAGTTTCGAGCAAGTTTTCATCCCATTGTCCCCTTAAAGTTTCTTATTAGTAATATCCTGCATGCAGTATTACAGGATATGTCCTTCTAGATTAATAATAGTCACCATGTATTTTGATGTGGATCTGTGAGCAGAGATTTCTCTGAAAGTAATGTTATTTCTATGTGTCGGTGTGTCTGACAGGCAGTCTCTAAGACATTGAGAGGCGATTGCAGTGGTTCTAAATTTAAAGTGGAGTTACTGCAGTTGGGCAAAGAAATCGTTTTAATCCTTCTCTGTTCCGTAGCATCCAGATGAGAAGAGGCTGGAGGGCCTCTCCAAGCAGCTGGACTGGGATGTACGCAGCATTCAACGCTGGTTTCGACAAAGACGCAACCAGGAAAAGCCCAGCACTCTTACGAAGTTCTGTGAGAGCATGTAAGGATGCACGTTCTCTTCTTGAGCCTTGTTGAGCCTGCGTCTTCATAAGTTTTCCCCTTTGTTCTTCAAGGGTATTTTTGCAGACGGTTAGAAAATGATACAAATTAGTAGAATGTAACTTCTTGAATGAGAAAACAATCTTTCTCCTGAAGAAGTCAGATTGTACTTTTTGTGTACTTTCAATGGTGAAAAGCTTTTGGATATCAGGTGGTTGTGACTCTGTACTGTCAGGGTGCCAGCCTGATCCTTTGAGACAAATCACCTGGTGTTAGGCTGGGAAGCTGTCTTTACAGCACAACCTTTAGCTATACAACCTGACAGAGATCTGAGATGGAGGAGTGAATTTAAAAGCCAAAAGAGTTGTTAAACACCTTCTTTGTTTCTTCTCATCCCAGACTTGTCCCCTTTATTAGCCCATTTCCTTAGGTGCACTGAACTCTGAGAAGCTAAAGGCTCCTATGCTTTCTTCAGGAAGTTATGTTTCACCTGCCAGGGTTTACTTCTGAGGAATCTTTCCCAGCACCCAGCTGCTCTTCAAACCGGTTATCTACATAAAGGTCATTTTTCTAATTAGACTCCATTGTTTTTTGTATCTGAGTTACATTTCTGTGCCAGCTGGATTTAACATATTAATACTTAATCTGCATTGAAAGAGCATGGAAAATTAAATCTACTTAAAATATTTACATGTTTTTCTTAAAGAAGTACTGATACACATTGAATTCATAACAAAATATGAATAACAGCACTAGTTTATTTGAAAGGCTTTTAATTCCAAGACTCATGCATGTGGAAGGTCATGCATTTAAGGCAAATTTTGCGTACTCCAAATCAAGAGACTTGGCAAATATTGTTGAGGCCATAAACAAGCATTAGCTTCATTACACCATGTTGGTCAAGTAGTTGTGTTATTGCTGGCTTAAAACTCTAGTTACACTTTTTGTTAGCTGGAAAAGGAGTGTTACGTAGAAATATCAACAGAAATAGGGGAAGCCTATGTAAGTTAGAAAGCAAATGTTAGTTAATCTTGTTTTCCAAGTTGCATTTTTTGGTTTTTTTTTTGGTTTTTTATTCCTAACAATTCTTAAATGATTTATTTAAGACATTGCAAGTAAAGAAATCACAAAAACATTACAGGCCAGGTGGGGGTGGGGTGTATATATTAAAAATACCACAAACTTGTGGAATACACTGTTGTTGTATTCATGCAGATTCCCTGAATATATTTCATACTTTTTCATTTTGTAGGTTTCCTAAGTATTTTCCGTACATTTTATTTTCCTGTGGAGACATACAGAAAGGTTGATAATATGGTTCTGAATAAATAATGTATTAAGGCATTTTTTTCTAAAGCCAAACTGTAGATGAAATGTTATTTGAATAGCAACTGATACTTTTAACTAAGGACTAATAGGAGAGAAATTAGAAGAGTTAATGCTAAGCATATTGTCTCTCTAGCTCAGAGAATTAGAGTCCTTTTATTTTAGAAGAAGAAAGATAAATTGTCTAAAGATGATTGCCCTTTAATAAACAGAAGGAACCTGATTGTCAGAATGCTGAAGTCCTTTCCTTGGTACAGCTAAAATCTACCCTACTTAATATTTTAGTAAAGCCAGACAGGGTGAGATTATGGTTAAACCTAGTCATGCTGGTGCCAGCAGCTGGTGTTCTTAGAGTTACTAGTTTTTGAGATCAGTGAAGAACAACCTTTTATCTATGAGGGTTGTAACTGTTAATGTATACGCGTCTGCGTAACTTGTAGGAAAGGCTGTGGAATCTTGGAAAAAAAATTAAAATTGTATTACTGCTAGAGCTAACATATTTGAGCGGTATATTTGACTGCTACTGTAACTCAGGTCAAAGACTTCACTTTCTTGCATTAATGTCAGCATGTCAGGGCTGAGCTAGAGGTAGAAAAAACTTAAATGTGCAACGAAATACAGGCACAGGTAGGAAAGTTGTGGGTGCTGAACTTGCTGCTTTGTGGCATACATCATGGAAAAAGCATGCAGATGAGAGCTCTGAATGCAAACTGGGAAGTAACGTCAAGCTGTAATGAATGTAACTTCCACTGACAGAACTATGTGCCAGCTTCATTTGGAGAGAGCCATTGGACATTGCTGCAATATGTGTATTTAATAGTGATGATAATACTTGTCCAAAAAAGAAGCAAAGTGGCATAAATAAGTGGATAGTTCAGGTTCTCTCTGCTCGTGGTTTGCAGAAGGTGCAGTGGGAGTTGCCTCTCCATCTCCATGCATGCTACTGTGAAAATGTGGCGTTATCCAACTGACCCTGTGTGCATTGCCCTAACAGCATTTCCAGTGGTGCAGTGTGTGCTGCCAGCCGCTCCGTCACACATGCTGGACGGAGTTGTTAGCAGGTAGTCAGAATAGCACTGGGAAGCCAGGGATACGCTTTTTTCCCCTCAATATGGGTGTTAAACAGTTGTCTAGTTAGATCTGTCCATCAGGGCACTAAGTGTGATGCTTCACTTCCGTGTGTTTGGAGCAAAGAAATTCTTCTGTATGAGGTCTGTAGCCTTTTCACAGCTATTGAGTCAATGGAGTGGCTTTTTGGATGAAGAGTCTGTATGTGGCAGGTGCTTTGGAGCTTGGGGCCACGTAAAGCGTGTGTTCCCATGACAGTCATGGGAAGGGGAGCACTCCAAGCGTTCAGTAACTGGGGCACCAGTGGAGAGTTCTATAGCCCTGACAGAGAACGAAATGTGCCCTTATGTAATAAGCAGGCACAGAGCAAGCAAAATGACAGTGATCTCCACCTACACCTTCAACTGTTGAGCTGCCGTTGTCCTTCCAGAGAAGACTTCAGTTTTGCTGGCAGCTACATTGATTGACTGTGACTTGGGAAGAACAGTGACAGAACCCACAGCAAATGTGGAGCTGCTTAAAAAGAGTTCCAGCTCTTTTTACATGGAGACAGTTCAATTCACTGCTAGAAAAAGTGTACCTTGGGCCCAGAATGGCTTTTGCATGATGCAAAGGAGAAGGCAGCTGTGCCAGAAGGGCCGTAGGCCATTTCTGACTGCCTTATCTTTCTTGCCGAATGAGTAGTGTGGGTGCTATCTAAGGTAGAGGAGTTTCAATAGGACAAAGGCTGAGTGAAACTCAGTGATAAACATGTGTGGCTGAGATGAATGACACCAGGCCCAAACAGACCAAACCAGTAACTTAATCATTAGATTCTTCTTGTCCCAGATTTCTCACTTTCTCTACCCCTTCCCTTCTTTTTCTTTTCAAGCAACTTCAATTCTGGTCCTAAACAGAGTGCAAAGAAACTCTAAAACCTGCGCGCTTTTTTTTTTTTTTTTTTTTTTTTTTGAAATTCAGTATTTCCTTTGCTGCTAGCCTTCGTCAGATGTCCTGGGTATTAGCAGTAATAAAATCTCTTGTTTATATACACTCTTTGTGCCACAGCATTGTAGTGAAAATAAATTACTTTGCAGGGACCTTAACCAGCAATCATCCCATAGAGTTTTGTGTGTCAGTCTGAAAGAGAAGGTGCCATTTGGTTGTCAGAGTTGTGGAGACCACTAATGATGAGACTTTAGTGGCATAACATACCTGCTTAAGATTTCATATGTTATGGTGATGAGTACCTATACGAAATAGGATATAGATAATTTCACCAAGTGATGAGTCACGGTCCAGTATTAGTCAGAAAGACAGTAACAAATGGAGTGCTGAGCATTATTTTACATGCAAGTCAATGAGTTGTTTCTCAAGGTCTTGGTGATTCTGACATGAAACTTATGTGCAAAGTGGACTTTCTACTGCTATGCATTCCTGTTGTTTTTTATTCCTTTCACTCTGTCCCCATGGCATAGCCTAACATCAAGGGAAGACAGGCTTTCTCCTGAACAAGAGTAGGGTAAGGACCTTTTGCTGTGCACTTTGAGTATTGCAGTGCATGAGAAAACACAGAAAGTGGATCACCTTGAATCTTTTCTGAAGCTCATGTGGTTTCTGTGTTGTTCGTGGAGAGTATCTGCAGTACTTTACAAGGCAAAAAGCTGTTTATGCAGAGGACTATCGGTCTATTTACAGGCAGGTGATATCATTTGGATCAGATGCCCTAATGACTTCTGGACCGTAGTTCTAGCACAGAAATGTATTTTTTAAAAAAATAATAATAATAATAAAAAAAGATGTCTGACCACAAATAAGTTCCCAAAAATGTCTTAAGGAAGAATGTTGCATCTGAATGTAGTGAAATGGGTATTCCAGGCATGGAATAAGCTAGCGCAGAAAGGGCTTCAAGGTATGCTGGGGACAGCTGGGAGGATGTAACTCTTCAAAGACCATGAATGATGACTTTGCTGATTGCCAGACAGAATACAGGATCCAAGAATGCCTTTGTTAATGTCTGACGTGTCAGAAAGCCAATGCAGTAGTGATTTCCAGACTACTTTCAGTTTCTCCCCAGTTTCAGCACCAATGTGTAGGCATATTGCTTTTCTCAAAGACTAAATAGTACAGAAAAAGTAAGCATGCCGTCCTCCTCCCTTGTTGTCCAAAGCAAAAGGAAAGAACCTGTGATGCCCTAAGTTATAAGCCTGGGACTCTGGAATGTCATCAGACTCATGGCTTGTCTGTACTACAGCTATGTACATTTAAGCAAGCTGCTTATTAGAGACATTTGCATGGTTTCCAAGGAGTGGCTGGCAGAAAAATGTGGCCAAGACAGTTTTTTGAGTTTATGCAGCAGTCTGCATGTGAAGATATGAAATGTGCAGACTGCAGAGCCAAAGATATTTTTTTTTTGTCATTTGTCTCTAGACGAGGCTTAGATACTCAAGTATCTGCAAGTGGGGTGTCTTTTAGTTTTGATGTAGGTGAGAGAAGTCTCTGTCTCATCTCCTAGCCGGAACATACTCTTTTCGTAAGGAATTGGAACTGTGTTTGTTCATGTTGGTTTTGGGGAGATTTTATCTATGTATAGCTGTATATATATGTCTGTGCATGTGTATGGGTATA